GGGCTGCGAGCGACGGGGCAGCGGGGTCGCCAGCCCCTGCACATACCGGACCCAGAGAGGTCCCTGCAATTGGTGGGGGACAGGGAGGGGCCGAGGCCCCTCCCTGCCGAAAGTCCACTGTTCCTCTGCCAGATTGCGAAGGCGCGGACTTCCCGCCTGCGCCGAGCTCGCTCGGGACCCCGAATTCCACCTCCCCACCCCCGGACTGCTTCCTTCGCCTTTTGCGTCGAGGCGGGCGGGAAAAGTTTGGGGAGGAGTCAGGGCGACCCTCCTCGCCCCCGCCAACTCCACTCCCAGGGTTCTCGGACTCCCGGGTAGCCCCCCTCTCGTCGTGTGAAGTCCCCTGGCTCCTTGGCGCACGGTCCCCCGCCTCACGGAGCGCGCCGGACCCGCTGCGCCCTGGCTGGGTCATTCGGTCCCCTCTCGGCCCCGGTGGCGGCTCCGTTGCGCCCCCCAGCGGCAGGGAGCAACTGCCTTAGGTAGGACGAGCGGAGGAGCTGGAGGCACTGCTTGGATGACGCCTGTCCCCTCTCCACTCCGGTTGGGCTTGGGGGGCTACGAGGGCCCCACCCATGGGTCCGGAGAAGGGGGAGCCTAGAGCTCGTATACAGGAGGACTATACACTCTCCTCAAATCCAGGGTCCTAAATATACCCCAGGGAGGCCCTAATTTGGGCCTCATAAATGGGGGTTAGTTGGGGGCACCTGTGTCTGAGGGAGACTACAGAGAGCAAAGCCCTCCCTCCGGACTAGAGGACCCACCTCTTACTTTGGAACAAGAATGACAGCCCAGTTTCAGGTTTGGGAAAAGGGGCAGTGGCCCCTCCTGAGCTGCAAAGATGTGTATGTGGGGTGAGGTGGGGTGATCTTTCAACTTAGTTGTGTCTGAAATGCAGAGGCCAGTCTAAAAAGTGACAGGCAGAGCTAGGAGTAAGGTAACGGGCTTGGAGAGGGTCTTAAGCAGCCGGTAGCCCCCAATATTGTATGATTTCACTGACAGGAAGCACTTAGAATAGGCAAATTCAGAGGGAGAGAAAGTGGAGCAGAGGTACCTGGGGCTGGCAGAGAGGGATGGGGAGTTATTGCTAATGGGTACAGAGCTGGGGAGGATGAAAACATTTTGGGTATAGGGAGTGGTGATGGTTCCATGACACTGTAAGTGTATTTAATGCCACTGGATTCTACACTTAAAAGTGGTTAAAATGCTCAATATTCTGTGATGTATATTTTCCCACAATTAAACAGAGTCTGCAGCCACCTCTGTGCTTCAGTTTGGTTCAGTTAGAAATTCCAGAATCCACTCACGGTTGCTGGCCACCTCTCCCCAGAATTTGACCTCAGTAAGGAAGTGGACGGCGGGTAAGGAAGGGACACGAGCTGGGTTTCCCCAGGAGCCTGGAAGGGACAAGGAAGGGGACAGAAGCTGATGGAGCCTCTGATGGAGCTGCTACAGCTGATGGAGCTGCCACAGGGGTCTGTGGCCACTAACTGTAAATACAGGGCACAACCGTCCAGCCCTCCCCGCCACTCCCCTGCACACACAAGTAATGTCTAAGGCCCTTTGTTTCTGGAATGGAAGTGAGTGTTTCACCTAGATTTCCTTTCTCTGCCTTGCGCGTGATATCTTCAGGGCAGGAATTGAAACGAGTGTGTGCGCGCAGACTCTCCATTTTCCAGCAACAGGTGATTCACAGGGAGGCTCAACTGGCCAATTTCTCTTCCCAGGCCCATGATGACTCTCCATCAGCCTCTGATGGAGCGTGCTGCCCTGTGCCTTCCAGCGCTCCTGGAAGCTTCCCCCTGCGCCGGCCCATCTCCACTTCTGGGCTGCAGGTGGGGAAAGCCAGGTCAGAGACCTTAAGTCAGTCCCTCAAGGTCCCTGAGCGAGTGAAGTGCCAAGAGGCAGGCTTTGAACCTCCATCCGCTTCCCTGCAAGCTCTCCCCAGTTTTTCCACCCGGAGATGCCCTGGTAGGTTTTGGAGAGTCAGGGGGAGACCCTCCTGGGGAAATCAGGGCCCAGACATCCATGGGGGCCTTGGCAGATACCAAGGCCACAGCAGAGGGAGGGGCGTGGGGATGGCAGGAGGGTGCGGAACCTGTTTTCCCACTGAGGGTTTTTGGATCAGCTGCCTCCAGCCCCGCCGGGAATTGGGGAGGGGAGGCTGGGCGTGGGCCGCATAGCCTGTAGCTGCCTCTGTCCCTCCAGTGGGGAAACTGAGATTCACCTGAAATCTGGGGACAGGTGTTCGTGTTGGAAGCCGCAGAGGTGTCCCACGGTGGGGGGCGGTGAGGGCAGGGCCAGCCGGGCGGGGCTGACACTGCACTGCCCCACCCAGAGGGGAGGGGCCGAGCCCTCTTCTGGCTTCCCAGACCCAGTTTAGGGCACAGCTCTTGAGGGGCTGAGGGGTCTGTGGCCACTAATTGTAAATACAGGGCACAACCGTCCAGCCCTCCCTGCCACTCCCCTGCACACACAAGTAATGTCTAAGGCCCTTTGTTTCTGGAATGGAAGTGAGTGTTTCACCTAGATTTCCTTTCTCTGCCTTGTGCATAATGTCTGCAGGGCAGGAGCTGAAACCACGAGTGTGTGCGCATGGACTCTCCATTTTCCAGCAACAGGTGATTCATGGGGAGGCTCAACAGGCTAATTTCTCACCCCAGGCGTGTGCTGACTCTCCTGCCCTCTGCGGCCTTCCTGGTTGAAGGGGGCACAGCTGAGGCCGCCTCTTTGTCATAGTAAACTCTGCCAGACATGACCAGGAAGGAAAGTCTGCCGAGACAAAAATACATGAATGCCTTTCCAGGCCAGATGGGGTGGCGGTAGATTGCTGGCTTTGGCGGGATTTGTCTGGAAGGCAGGAGTGCAGCCACTGTCCTGGGGAGGTGCAGATAGTTGTGTGTGTGTGTGTGTGTGTGTGTGTGTGTTGCAACATGCGGCCGCTGCCCAGCTCTGTGGACAAGTAAGGCCTCTGACATGGGCTTCGGGGGCTAAGGCGGGATGGGGGTGGGCTCTCCAGCTACGGGGTGGTGGCAGCCATCTGCCAAAGGTGGGGTGCGGTCCCAGGCATTGGGACTGCGGAGCAGAGTCCTTCCAGAAGAGGCAGTTAAAGGTCGGCGACAGGACTCCAGTGCAGGAGGATGGGCTCCGGGGACGTCTTACTGGGCTTAGGCAATTGGCAGCAGCAGCTGGAACAGGGAGCGAGGGCAGCTGGCACCTTAGACAGAACTGGAGCCTGACGCTTGGATGTTGGCTTCATCTTGTCCAGGGAAGGATGGGGGTAGGAATAGGGGTGGTGGGAAAAGGAGGCTCCCTTTCTCACCCCAGGAGCGATGGAGTCTGGCTCCCTGCAGGAGTGACCCAAAAGTGCAGTTTTGGCAGGACTGACCCATGGGGCGAATTGTCAGATGTATCTGGCTCTCGTTAGGGACAGGCCGAGGGGGGAGTCTAAAAATATCCGAGACAGAGCTGCTACCCAGGGAGAGTGCCGGCCTGGTAACCCAACACCCATGGCAGCACTAGCTCTGCTCTGCTCTGCTCCAGCCACTGGGGCTCTTCCAGGCAGCCAAGCCTTGGCCAGAGGGTGGGAGGGGTGAGAGCACCCTGCATTCAGGGCAGCCATGGACTAAGATTTTCAGGGACGTAAGGGCCTTAGAAAGTCCCAGTTTGCCAGCTAAGGATGCTCAGAGAGGTGGAGTGACTCACCCGAGGTCACTCAGCAAGTTGGCGGCAGTACCTGGACGAGATCTGGGTCTGGGGACTCACTGCTGAGGAGCTTGATGGCTGGGAGTGGTCAGTGGGTTTCCAGGCCAGGTCCCCAGGGTCAGGGACCCTTATGGCATGTGTCATCCGTCTGGGATGCTGATCGGAGAAAGGTGGGCCGGGAGCCATGCTCAGGCAGTGGGTCACTTTCCACTGGCATTGGGTCGCTCCCGGCCACAGCTGTCGGGCTCTGAGGATGTCGTCCATCCTGGGGGTGGGGGTGAGTAGGAAGACGGAAGCTGGAGGAGGACCGTCTTCCCATCCGAAGACACTTGGTTTGTTCACATGGCATCTCAAGGGTTTAACAAGGAGTTGTTGACCTGAATAGTTGAATTTCCAGGGCTCTCACTTTCCTGGGGAGGCTGGGTTTCTGTTGATCCAAAAGGGAACAGAGGGTGAAGAGATTGCCCAGCTTCCTGCCCTCCTCAGACAGGTTGGATAACATCAGCTTCTAGAAGCTTCCTAGCACTCCTGGGTCTAGAGCTGAGGGAGTGGTCGCCGGTGTGATATTTGGCATCAAGATTGTTCTGAGAAATCTGGATGTGAAACATCTGTCACCCTGCAGGATGCAGAGATGGACAAGTTAAGTCCCTCAGTGAAAATTGCTTGTAGCCTAAGAGCAAGTAAGTTTGCCTGATAGAGAAGTCGCTTTGAAGATTTTTCTTTCTGGCGCTTCTGATCACAAACTTCTCTGGAGGGCTCTCTTTCCTTAAAATTAAATTAGTTTAAAAGTTTTGCAGTGAATAAATATGACCCAAAGTCTCATTCATCTTGTTCTAATGAACGTTTCCCAAAGCGTGTTATCACTGGTGGTAACCAAGATTGTTTTAAAAAGTTCACAGCTGAACGTGAAACGAAAAAGAGTAATTATGTCTTTTTCTCAGTTGGTAGTTGGGAAAGAAACACAAACAGCACACAGACCCATAGTTTCACTACCGTGTGGGGTGAAACTTAAGTCGGTATTTTAAACTTTAAGGCATTTTTTTAAATAATGGGAGGGTATAATTAATAAGCACAGGTGATCCTTGGATTTGGCACAAATCTTAGTGCAG